AATAACTAATCACAAGTTAATTGATAAGAAATATGGAGCACTGTGACCATAAGCATGACCTTATCCATGCTTGTGAGGATTAATTAACAATGCTGTATAAAAGAAGGAGAGAAAAAAGTAAAGACGGTGCTCATTTTCTGCTGAATGCGTGTGTGTGCATGTGTCTTTCTTAAGCATCTCTGCTGTACCAGGAATTACAGATTGTCAGCGGGTCCTGACAATTTTATTTTTATGTGGTGCTCAGGATTGAACCCTGTGCCTCATGCATGCCAGGCGAGTGCACTACCACCTGAGCCACATCCCCAGCCCCACCCACTTTAAAAATATTTTTTAGTTGTAGATGGACACATATCTTTATTTATTTATTGTGGTGCTGAGGATCAAAAAACCAGTATCTCACATGTGTGAGCCAAGTGCTTTACCTCTGAGCCACAACCCAGCCCAACCCCAGCCCTCTTGAAGAGTTTTTATACAGCTTCACTTCCAGTCCCATGCCACCAGCTTCCTGGAGGTCCATGGGTGGTGCTGAAAGTCACACACTCRTCTTGGGCTGTCCGATGGCCCTCAGCTTGTCCTGTGTGGCCTCATTAGCACAGACTCAGGTGTGATCTAAAGGGGACCTTAGTGACCAGCTATGCTCCTGGCCACAGGGACACTTTAAGGGATCTGGGAGCCTTGTGCCAGGCATCTGGGAGAAACGTCCATCCTGTCATGCCATTCCACTGAGCAATGTGAAGTCCTGAAGTCCATGGACACAGAATAACTTTCCATTTAAATTTCTTTCTACAGTGTTTATAGTTTTCCGTGTACAAAAATCGCACCTCCTTGGTTCAAGTTACTGCTTTTGATGCTATTGTAAATTGATTATTTTCTTAATTTCCTTTTTTTTTTTTAGATTTTTCCTTGTAGTATAGGAATAAATTGATTTTGGTGTATTATCTTGTACCCTGCCACTGTGATGAATTTGTTGTTTAGCTGTGACAATCTCTGTGTATCCTGGAATTTTCTACATGTCCTATGTCACTGTGAAGAGATGGCTCTACCTCTTCCTTTCCAATCTGGAGGCTTTTGAATGCTTTTTCTTGCCAAGTTTCTCTGGCTAGAACTTCTAGAACAGTGTGAATAGATTCAGGGAAAATGGGGTCCTTATTCCCAATCTTAAGGGGAAGCTTTGGTCTTCCACCATTAGGTATAGTATTCAGTGAGGGCTTTTCATCAGGTTAGGGGGTTTCCTCTTTTCCTAGCTTCTTGAATGTTCTCCTGACAATGTGTTGCAGTTTGTCTTTTCTGCATCAAAGTGATCATATATCCCTATAAGAGATAGTGCCTGGTCTGAATGTTTGTGTCCTTTATTTCTATACAGAATTCCTCACCCCAAGGTGACAGAGGGAGGTGGGGCCTTTGGCTCTGCCCTTATGAATGAGAGTCGCGTCCCTGTAACAGAGGTCTGAGAAACTGGGCAGGCTGGTGTCGCCCTGTGGCCCCAACTATTTGGGAGACTAAGTATTTGAGACCAGTCTGGGCAACATAGGAGTCTCTGTCTTTAAAGGATTTAAAAAAAAAGAAGAGAGAGAGTGTGTGTGTGTTGAGGGAGACCTCACAGTCCCTTTCACTATGTGAGGACACAGTGAGAAGGTGGTATCTATGAACCCAGAAGTGGGCCCTCCCCAGGCATCGAATCTTACTGGCTCCTTGTTCTTGGACTTGCCAACCTCCAGAACTGGGAGAAATTTCTGTTGCTTTAAGCCAGCCAGTTTATGGTATTTGTTATAGCAGCCCAACAGACAGGTGGTGGTGAAGAGCACTCCATGGACGTGGTGATTTTATTTATTTATTCTTAAATATTTATTTTTTAGGTGTAGATGGACACAACACAATGCCTTTCTTTTATGTGGTGCTAAGGATCGAACCTGGGTCCCGCCCGTGCTAGKCGAGTGCTCTAACGCTGAGCTACAATCCCAGCCCGGAGGTGGTGATTTTAATTGGAATTGAAATGTCTGGTATAGCTTCTGCAATCCTGAAAAATTATCATATATGATCTGTTACAATCTGGGAATATGATATATATAAATCAACAGCTCATTTTGAAATCGAAGTACTTTTTTGGATTTTATTGACGCTTTCAAATGCTACTGCCTTGATAGAGAAAAATTCTACAAACTGAACCAAATTTTTAAAATAAAGAAAAAAGAAGTACAATGAGTTAAGAAAGACTGTCTAGCTTGGCACAGAGGTGCATGCATGTAATCCCAGCAACTTAGGAGGCTGAGGCAGGAGGATTGCACGTTTCAGTCCAACCTGGGCAACCTAGGGAGAACCTGTTTTAAGAATAGAAAGTCCARTTGTCCATTTTCAGAATATAGTCTTTAGCCTTCTTTGGGATGTATGATCCAATCCTAGCTATTGTAACTACAGCCCTTCCCCTTGCCTTCCCCAAATTTAAAATTAGCGAATGCATCGATTGTCACCCCAGCTCCTCCTGTCCTCCTCCTATCAGAGCAAGGGGCAGTGCTCTATTAGGAACAAGATGAGAAGCTCCCTCCACCAGTGTGCTTGCTTACAGCACACTCTGCAGAAGTAAGGTTTTCTCTTTGCCTTCCTGAGCTACTTTGGAGCATGCCTTTGATTCCTTGAAGCACCCTAGTATTTCTAACACTGTCTCAAAACGATAAATTAAAAAGGCTAAGGATGTAGGTCAGTAGTAGAGCACCCCTGGGTTCAATCCCCAGTACTAGAAAGAAAAAACAACAACAAAAAACTAATTAGTGTCTTGTTCAGAATACAAATTATGTGACTTTTCATTATAATAACAATTAGTAATTTTACTGAAATATAGAGTAAAACGCTAAAATTTTCTGGAATGGAGACAAATCATGTCTTTATTTTCTTCCAATTATGTAGAAGGCTTTTTTTAGAGACTGCTTCATTTTCTCAGAGGACAAGTCCTCCACTTCCATGTACAAGGTTGACAGCTGTCCCTGGAGGCCCCACTCCCCAGCCAGTGTGCTTGCTTGAAGGCTTGTGAGGGCCTCAACTGACATCTGTATTAACAGCACTGCCACACTCTCACCAGAGCACCCTGACATGTGCACTACAAAGAAAACTCTACCATTGCTGATGCTCTGTGGGCCTTCAGTTGTACTGAAGCAAGAATTAAAGACAGGCAGTCAGTGTAGATAGGTATGGGATTCCCGTTGTAAAGATGGAGGCCAGTTTGGGTCTGGGAAGCTGAAGGCACCCGTGGAGGATTGAAATGTTAATGCCTCCAGAGCCCTTAGCAAGATAACCTACTCCTGCTCCAACCTGTGGCTAAGGTAACTTGTCCCTTGCTGCAAGGAGTTATATGTGTTAATTAATGCCTCCTGGGCTGCCACCTGCCTGGATTACTCCGTAGGGCCCTTTGCCTGGCATCTGCTTCTCATCACATAACCAGGAAGGAGAGATAAGGGGGAAGAGGGCAGGAGAACAAAGAAAGCCTAAAAGTCCAAAGCCCCCTTCTCCGTCACGGGAGAAGTCTATTATTATTCAAATAAAACTAGCTTTCTATGCTTGCCTCGAGGCTTCTCTGATTTCAAGCTTCAACATTGGAGGAAGCAGAACTCGGTCCTGATTTTCATCGCCAGCGGTATCAACATGAAAACCTCATCCCTTTATGGATATTTGAGGGTTTTGTCGTTAGGAAACGCACTTTCACAATAAGACGTCAAGGTAGGAGGGCAGGGTGCAGTTTATTTACCGGTTGGTGGACCGGTTGCTTTTAAAGCCTTGTAGTCTGATAGGATGCGAGCCCCCTTGCTGCTCCCCTGTGAGCTCCTGCCCGGGCCCTCGAGCTGCGCCAAGGCCGGTCACCAGCACCCCAGGTAGGGCAGTGCTGTGGCACAGCGAAGGCTGCGGCCCAGCGTGGGAAGATGCCGGGCCATTCGCAAAAGGGGCGATCGGAACCGTCCGCGCGAAAGGAGCAGGGCCGCGGAATCTACGGAGCAGTCACGAGGCCCGCAGCGAAGGGCACGCAGCTCCCGGCGGGTCGTCCCTGCCGCGACGTCCCCCGTCCCCGTGGGTGCAGCGGGGCAGTCTGCGCCCTGTCCTTTCGCAGACAACTAGGGGCTCCGGGGGCGGCCACACCGGGAAGAGGGAGCAGGCAGACACCGAGGTGCGGGGCCTCACGGCGGGGAGGGCGACCAAGGCCTGCGCGTCCCCACGTGCCTGGCCCCAGGCCCCCGCCCCGCGCGCCAGAAGCATCGCGCGGGCGAGCGGCGCGGCTCGGGGCGGCCGGGCTCTGCCAGGGCCACGCAGCGCGCGGGGGCCGGGCGCGCAGCCCTCGCCAGTCCCCAGCGGCCCGGGCAGGCGCTGGAACCTGGCGGGCGCGCCCGGGGCTCGGACTCCCGCGCGGCCCTGCGCGTTTCCCGGAAGCGCCCGAGCGGCGCCGGCGCAGCCGGGACTCGGCTCCCAGAGTGCCGCGGGCCGCCCGCCCCACGACCGCGCCGGAAGCTGCCAGCGCTGGGGGCCGGGCGCGGGTGAGACGGCGCGGGCCGCAAGCCGGTGGGGACCGCCAGGTGTCCGGCGGGGCCCCTCCCGTCAGAGTGGTCGTGGGGGCCCTGCGGCCGGAGCCGATATCCAGCTCCCAGGTTGGGTCCTCCCGGCGGCGGCGCGCGGGGTTCCTCCAGCCCGCGGCCTGCGGGGAAGAACCTGGCTCGCGAGGGCCTCCAGGGACCAGCCAGGCGTGGGTGGACACGGGGCTGCCAACACCGTACTGCCCCTTGCCTGTCTGTGGCTTGTGGGCTTTGGCTGAGAGTAGCCCCCACGATTTGCTCCTGGAGCCTCAGCGCCAAGGTTTTCTGCCTCCAGCTGCTCTGGTTCCGATGGTAGCCTCCAGGCCGCTGTGGAGCCCCAGGCAGGGCCGTGGGAAACAGGACTGGGAGGTGGTGTGATTCAGTCCAGCAGGGTCTGTCTGACTTCCTGTGGCCTCTGTCCCCTCTCGGGGTCTGCCYCTGTGACCGTTGCCCCCGGTGATGCGGCATGGAAGGATTGGAACCAGATGGCCTTGGCCTCACACCAATTTGGCCCTCCAGGTACAGCCACCATGGGTGACCCCCAGAGGTCCATGCGGATCCTAGTGACAGGGGGCTCTGGACTGGTGGGCAGAGCCATCCAGAAGGTGGTGGAAGATGGGGCTGGCCTTCCTGGAGAGGAATGGGTGTTTGTCTCCTCCAAAGATGCTGACCTCACGTGAGTGGAGACCATCCCAGAAGCATTCCCCTCCTCCCCATGCCCTCTCCAGACAGAAGAGTCTGGAGTCACATCTGCTGCCCCCCAGCCCCAGCTTGGCCCCAGTCTGGGCTCTCCCTGCCAGGTGTCTGGCCTGGCCTAGGTGTGCTGCTCTGGGCAGGCATCCTCCCATTCCTCTCTGCAAGCCATTCCTTCACAGCTACCCACTGAACTCCACCACTTGTGCTTTTGGCTGCCCCTTCTGCAATGGTCCCACTTAGTACTAGCCTCCATTCCTCCATACAGGGCCCTCCACGGGGCCCCTGACAACCCGGCTTCCTCCAGGGACACAGCACAGACCCAAGCCCTGTTCCAGAGGGTCCAGCCCACTCATGTCATCCACCTTGCTGCAATGGTAGGGGGCCTGTTCCGGAATATCAAATACAATTTGGACTTCTGGGTAAGTTGGGGGGAGACAGCAAGCACTGGAAGACAGGAGTCCAGGTTCTGAGAACTTTCTAGGGGGTCTCCCACTCTCAGGTTCCTCTTCCTACCTCGTGGAGTCCCTGAGGATTGGGGCTTGGCACAGCCTGATGGGGGCAGCCCCTGAGGGACTCCCAGTGACACACATTCGTGCTGCAGGCAGAAGGCCATGTAGGTGGGTCTGGGGGCATTTAGATCAGTAAAAAGTCAACCTGCAAAGASGGTGGGGGATTTGAAAGAAGCTGTCATTCTACGTGGCTTGAGGCTGGCTCCTGCTTCCTGAGCCAGGCCCACCGTGCTCGATGGGGTGCAAGGGTGTCTGTGCCCTGGGAATAGGGGGTATAATGTAAGGGCTGTACCCCTACTGGTTGGCCTCCTGCCTCTGGGCAGCAGCCTTAGCCTGACTGGCCTGTGCCAGCACTGGGATCAGAAGCTTCCGCAAGACTCTGCCCAGGGTCACTGTCACCCATGGCCCTCCTTGTCTATCTCAGCCTCCCCCATAAGTTGCCTGGCCACCAGCCTCTTCCCTGTTCTGAGGCCAGGCCAAATGCCATGGCCATCTCATGTCAATTTAGGAAAGGGAACTGGGAGTCATGGGGGATCAGGGTAGGCCACAGGGAAGGAGACCTGGGTGTGAGCTCCCCTGGGGTGGGCAGGGGAGGGGCCATTTTTGTGTAGTGGGAGCTTCCCACCCAGGGCTAGGTTAGGCCCCTGAGCTCCTGTCCCTTCTTCTGCGACCTTCCCTGCCTTCAGCAACCCCAGGCAGGCAGGCAGAACAGAACAGACCCTATGTGGCTATGATAGGGATARTGGCTTCAGTAAGGTCAGTGCTGAGAGGCTTTGTCTTGTCCCAGGAAGAGTTAGACGAACAGGCACAGGTACTGCCTATGTCTGAGGGGCCAGAGTATGTCCCCACCTCTGTCTTTGGAGGAGTGGAAAGGGGCTGGGTTCCTGCCTGGGCAGCCTGACCTGCCCTGCTCCACCCTGCAGAGGAGGAATGTGCACATCAACGACAATGTCCTGCATTCTGCCTTCGAGGTGGGCGTCTGCAAGGTGGTCTCCTGCCTGTCCACCTGTATCTTCCCTGACAAGACCACCTACCCTATTGATGAGACCATGGTGAGGGGGGCCTATGTGGGGTAGGACTTGGTCTGTGGGTGGAACCTGGAAGTGGGAGCCTCAGTGCATCTTTTGCTCCCATAGATCCACAACGGGCCACCCCACAACAGCAATTTTGGGTACTCCTATGCCAAGAGGATGATTGACGTGCAGAACAGGTCCTCCTCTGCTGCCTTGGCCAGGCCTAACCAGGAGTGGGGGAGGGCTTAAGCTCTGGTGGTGGGGCTAGTTGGGTGGCTGCCTTCTTGAGTCTGGTGTTTGCATCTGTGAGAGACCAGCTGTGGGTGGGGTCTGTGTCCTGGGATGAGGCAGGAGATGCTGGGCCTCTGCAGGGCCTATTTTCAGCAGCATGGCTGCACATTCACCGCTGTCATCCCCACCAACGTCTTTGGGCCCCACGACAACTTCAACATTGAAGATGGCCATGTGCTGCCCGGCCTTATCCACAAGGTGCACCTGGCGAAGAGTGAGTGCAGCTGCCCAGCATGTCCCATCCAGAGTTCCCAGGGTTCTGGCCTGATGGGGTCCCTGGGCCCCCATCTAGACAGCTCATGGCAGCTGGARTGCTTCTGACAATTGCTCTTGCCCCTAATCTGCAGGCAGTGGCTCTGCCCTGACAGTGTGGGGTACAGGGAAACCACGGAGGCAGTTCATCTACTCGCTGGTGTGTATAAGGCTGGCCTGCTGGGTTGATGGGGAGGCAGTGGCATGAGGGGGTCTGGGTAGAGTCCCTATGGGTGCCTGGGAGTCCCTGGTCCAGCTGTGAACTCAGCAAGAGAAAGGGCTGCCTGGAGGAGGAACCCCATACCCTCCTGGGTGAGCCATGGCTGTGCCCCCAGTGAGCAGAGATAGCAGTGTGGCCCCCTGGCTCCCTCATCTGATTGTCACTGTGGGCTCTGACCTACCTGCCTGCCTGACCTCCAGGACTTGGCCCGGCTCTTCATCTGGGTCCTACGGGAGTACAGTGAGGTGGAGCCCATCATCCTCTCAGGTTGGCACCCACAGCCCCCACACCCCATTCCTACAGTGGGACAAGACCCAGTTTGTCTTTGAGGGCTGGCAGAGGAGTGGGGGCAGAAATACCCATGGGAGGCTGATAGGAAGCCTAATAGGCCACTGCCCATTGCTCCCACAGTGGGCGAGGAAGATGAGGTCTCCATCAAGGAGGCAGCTGAGGCTGTGATGGAGGCCATGGGCTTCCACGGGGAAGTCACCGTATCCTTTGGGTGCTCTAGAGGAACTGAAGCCCAGGTGGGACACTCAGCCTAACACCATTTTGTGGCCTGGTGGTACTTGCCCTGGCAGCTGGAGGGGGGTCTGTCTCGGCCTCGCTCCCTCCCCAGGAAAGGCAGGTTTAAAGTAGCAAAGAGAAAAAAAAAAAAAAAAGTAGCAAAGAGGTGGGGTGTACCTTCTGCTGTGGCCTTGACCAAGGTGCCTAGTATGATACCACCAAGTCAGACGGGCAGTTTAAGAAGACAGCCAGCAACAGCAAGCTTCGGGGCTACCTACCTGACTTCCGGTTCACACCTTTCAAGCAGGGTGAGCCCCTCCCCCTCCAGTGTCCTCCCCTTGGCAACCTCATATCCCCCGGCACCCCCTGGCTTTGGACCCCCCTCCACTGCTCCTCCCTTTTGCTCCTTGCTGTGGCTTCTGCTTTCCTACTGTGATGTGGAGGTGGGGTGCTCTGCAGATTTGGTCACCAGGCCTGGTCACCTGGGAGTCAGGGTACTGCAGCTTGGAGGAAGTGACTTCCCTGTGTCCCTGGGGCTTGTACCCTCCCTGGGTCCTGTGGGTCACTGTGGTCTTGGCCCTCACCTGCTTACCAGCCCTCACTTGTCCACCTGCAGCTGTAAAGGAGACCTGTGCCTGGTTCACTGACAACTATGAGCAGGCCCGGAAGTAAAGCTGTGCAGACGAGCAGGCACTCAGCTGGCAAAGCCCAGCGCCCCCCACCTTCAGACCTTGCCAGGAACCAAGGACGCTGCTCAGCAACCCGGGCCACGTCCCACTGCCTCGGCCAGGGGTTCCAGGCAGTTGTCCAGCGGGGACCCATTTGTGCTCATCCTCAGGGAAATCAAGGCCCGGCCCAGCACCTCACCCCGCACCGCCCTGTTCTCAGTGCACTCTGGGCCCGCTGTGCTTTGTCTGGGAGCCAATAAAGTACGTTTCCACAGACCTGTTTTGGGCAGCTCTGTGCTCAGCCATCCCCCACACCCAGCACTGACTGTCTCCCAGACTGGCCAGTCCTGGGGCCCATTCTTCCCTTGGGATCATCAGCCCCTGAGAACTGATTCTGAGGAGCAGGAAGCAGCAGGCAGAACAGGCTGTTGATGGGCTGAGGTGCGGAGAGGGAATGTCTCCGTAGTCCCGTTGGATCTTAGTCAAGCCTAGCCCTTTTAGGCCTGGGTGAGCAGCTCCTTGGGGCCTGCTCATCTGAACCCTGAGGACCTTCAGGAAAGACGCAGGGTGTGGATTTGGACGAGCTCAGCGGGCTGTCTGATATTGTGAGGAGGACCTGGGGCTGGTGATTTGGTAGCACGGACTTCCCTGAGACTCTAGAAGAGCTGGGCCAGGCCTGGCCCTTCATCTCATAGCCCTTTGCAGCAGCTGGTTGCRTGGTAGGGGGTTGGGGGAGGCTGCACTGTTTTTTTGGTAGGTCAGCTCCAGCCACCAGAGGGTTGAGTATCATTGGCCGTSGCATTTTCAGTGGACAGACATGCAGTCAGTAAAAAACAAGGTCTGGCCCCTAGCTGGGTCCAGAACCCACCACAGCTCCCTATTACTGTCAGCACTGACCGGTGTGCTGGTACGCCCCGCCCACCGACTTCCCCGCAAAAGGCGATGAGGAGCCCCGTAGTTCCTGCAGCCAATGAGCAGCGAGGGGCGGGGCCTATYGCCGCAGCCTCGCAAGTAGTGACCCCGGACGCGATGGAGGCTGCGGCGGTGCCAGCCCGGCTGCGCGTGGGCTTCGTGGGCGCGGGCCGCATGGCGGAAGCCATTGCGCAAGGCCTCATCCGAGCAGGTGGGGTGGCTGTCCCTGGTTGGGGGGGTCCTTTGTGGGAACAGGTCGCCTGGCTGGGTGGGAGGGGCGCGCCCGGGTGGAAGCTGTGAACTGCAGGGCTCCTGGGCAGCAAGCTCCCGGTGCTTCCACGGTCCCCACGCCCCCAAGATCTCTGGGCTGGCTGAGCTCTCTTTCCACCAGCTGTGGCTGTGCCAGGCGTGGTGCCCACCCTCTCCTCTAGACTTGGCTTCCTACTGTGGGCGGCCAGGGCTGCTGCCCCACCTGGCCATGAGCCGTGTGTGAAACCAGCCTCTGGATCGCGTGTGGATGAGCAGAATAAAGAACATTCTGGTTTGGGAAGAGTTAGAAAAGTAACATGCCTTAGGCTTTTTTTTTTTTTTTTTTTTTTTAGTACAGCTGTGACTTTGTATACTTTGGGTGTAAAAAATATAATTAACTTCACCTGTTTCTTATTGACTTTAAGTGGCTGCTAGGGAATTTATAGTTACACATTTGGTTTGAACCGTATTTCTCCTGGACAGTGTTGACTTACCCTGGCATCTATGGCCAGTTTCCTGGACTCATGGCCTAGGTCCGGGTGGCCTTCCTGAGCTTCTAATTATTTTTTCTATTTGTGTGCAGGCTCCACATCCAATTGTGGACAGCATTGTGGACATTTAGACCAGATAATTTCTCCTGTGTATCYAAGGGCATGTAGCCTTCTGGGCCTCTTCTCCCTAGATGCTAGTTACCTTTGAGTTGTGACAGCTGGTCTTTAGACAACACCAATGTCTTCTGGGCCAGGGATATCATCCCAGCTGGGCTCAATAGTATATAGCAGGGGCATTACTGCCACCCTAATCCTATACTGCACAGCATTTAGAAACCTTTGCATGTAAGTTACAGATAGGGATCTGGTGACCTTTGGCTCTCTGCCTTCAGCCATACTTCAAAGTCCAGACAGGTCACAATCAATCAGAAAATAGTTTACCACAGTCTCAGGCAAAACCTGATGGTTCACTTGCATCCAGGGGCCATGGTGTGCATTTCTGTCTTCCTGTTCCACCTTACAGAAATCTGGCTCAGTTTTCTCATCCCTATATCCTACAAAAGCAGACAGGTTCCACCAAATGGTCATTTAGCTTCCTCTAGGACATCCTAGCACACTCCTTTCCTTCAAGGAAGACCAGCTGCTGCTGAACCTTCTGTTAGCTGCTTCATACCCACTCCTCCACCCCATCCCGAGACCTGGTGCTCYCTCTGGGTTCTGTCCCTTGGCCAACAACCTAAGTGCTCCAGGCAGCCATCCCTTCCCTGGGGGCTGGGGCCCCTAGCATCTGTGTCCTCACAGGACCAGACAAACTCCTGGCCCCTGTGTCCAGCAGCAGGCAGGTGACAGTGACTGCCGAGTTGAATCAGGTGGGTTTGATAGCCTGACTTCGGGTTGCCAGGCCATTCCATCTCCTCCTCATCAGTGGCCTCCACCTCTGCCTTTCTCTCTAGGCAAAGTGGAAGCTAAGCAGGTGCTGGCCAGTGCACCAACAGACAGGAACCTCTGCCACTTCCGGGTGAGCAGGGCCCAGATGACTTGTCCTCCTGAGACAGTCATTAGGTTCAGGAAAGTGTAGCTTATTAAGACTGTCTGGGTGGCTGGGGAAAGGGAGGTCAAAGGCCAAGAGGAAAGTCAAGGTTGCAGGGGGAGGCGCAGATACAAGTTGAACACATTTGTGCTCTATGGGGGTAGGCAGGACTGGGCATGGGTATTCATTGGGATGGAGGGGTCAGGAAGGTGCAGGCTTGGGGGTCTGTGAAGAACAGGGCCAGTTGGGTGGTCTTGGCTATTGGGAGCAGGGCTAATGCAGATTCTTAAAGTGAAAGAGGCCTGAGGGGATTCATGGGATGGAGGGCAGCTTGTGGTGTGGTAGAGTGCCCGCTCATGCAGCTCTGGTCCTGGTCCTGGTCCTGGTCCTGGTGTCCCTCTGCAGGCTCTGGGTTGCCAGACCACTCACTCTAACCAGGAAGTGCTGCAGAGCTGCTCGCTGGTCATCTTTGCCACCAAGCCCCAAGTCCTGCCAGCTGTCCTGAAAGAGGTGGCTCCTGTGGTCACTGCTGAGCATGTCTTGGTGTCTGTGGCTGCTGGGGTCTCCCTGAGCACCCTGGAGGAGGTGAGCAACACTTGTGGGTGAGGCCTTGACCACAGCCTCGGCTGTGCTGGTCGGACTGGAGTAGCAGACAGCCTCTTGACACTGCCTGGGACATGGGGACTGGAGCCTACAGTTGCCTGAGATATCGCCTGTCAGGGCCCTGTCCTGCAGGCTGCCTGATTCTGACCTCTCTCTGACCAGCTGCTGCCCCCGAACACACGAGTGCTACGAGTCTCACCCAATCTGCCCTGCATAGTCCAGGAGGGGGCCATGGTGATGGCACGGGGTCACCATGCTGGGAGCGAGGAGGCCAAGCTCCTGCAAAATCTGCTGGAGGCCTGTGGGCAGTGTGAGGAGGTGCCTGAGGCTTATGTGGACATCCACACTGGCCTCAGTGGCAGTGGTGTAGCCTTTGTGAGTATTGAGTTGCCCATACCCCAGCAGGTAAGCCCCCAACCAAAAGAGGCCCTCCCAGTTTCACATGATACCTGTGCCCTCAGGAGTCCAGCCTTGGGGCCTCAAGTGCTGGCTCCAAGCCTCTTGTTAGCCCTTCTCCCTCTCCAAACTTTGTGCTTTGGTGGCCTTTGGGGCTGATCTTGGCTCTGGGCATGCATGGTAATGCTCCAGGCCTTGTTCCTGAAGCTTCTGAGGCTTCTCAAGGCCGGGAGCTATGTCTGGGCAGTGTCAGCATTGACGTTACCCTTCCACCATGCTGCTGCTATAGGTGTGCACATTCTCTGAGGCCCTGGCTGAAGGCGCCATCAAGATGGGTATGCCCAGTGCTCTGGCTCACCGCATTGCTGCCCAGACCCTGCTGGTGAGTGAGGGTCTTCCCAGGGGAAGGTTGGAAAAGTCCAACCTGTACCATCTCCAGTGGGCAGGGAGGAAGCAGGCCTGCAATCCCAGGCCAAGGTTGGGGAAACATGTAGCTACCCCACCTCTCTTGAGTGACCACCCCTAATGTCTGTCTTCCCAGGGGACAGCCAAGCTGCTGCAGCAGGAGGGACAGCACCCGGCCCAACTACGGACAGATGTGCTTACACCAGCTGGCACCACCATCTATGGGCTCCACGCCTTGGAACAAGGWGGACTGCGAGCGGCTACTATGAGTGCTGTGGAAGCTGCCACCTGCCGGGCGAAAGAGCTCAGCAGGAAATAGGTCCCAAGCTCAAGAGGAGGCCATGGCTCCTCGCCCACCTGAATCTCCTGAGTGCCTAGAACAGCCCTTTGTGGCACACTGGCCTCCTTGCTGCCCAGACCCACCCCACCCAGTTCCCTCCTTCCCTTCCCTTAAGGACCACAATTCTCTTTCCATTCCACACAAGTGATAAATGCAGAGATAAATGCAGCCCCTCCTGTGGGGATCTCCCACCCGTAATAGTGGTGACCTTACCCCTAATGAGCCCACCATAGTGGRTGATGTTCTTTCTTAGGGGCCTGCATTTTGGGGTGGTTGGAGGCCAGGAGCAGAGCTGCTGGCAACAAGAGTAGCTGGGACTGGTCTGGAGCACTGGCCCTTCCTCAGATTTCTCAGCAGTGCAGCCTGGCCAGCGCTCTCATCCYAGCTCCAGGACCTGCACAGGACCATGGAGTCTGCACAAGATGCACCCTTCCYTCCTTAAAGCCAGTAAGCTTGGCCTGCTGCTGTTGGGAAGGCTGTGTGCCTGTTGGGTCCACCTCAGTGTTTGGGCAGTACCAGGTGGGCAGTGGGCAGTCAGAGAGGCTGCTCAGCGTCTGGGAGAGGAGGCCCACCCCCTGCCAGCCAGATGTCCCCTCCCTCCTTTGGACCTTAAGCTCCTGGCACATAGTCAGGTGGAGCCAGGCCCTGGGATGGCCTCTTGGGTCAGAAGTCTTGGAGGTCCTGYGGCCATGGCATCATTACACTGGCCTCTGCAGGATTGGACTCTGAAGTGTGTCCCTTAAGATGAACCACAAGTCAGAAAAGCTAGGACTAGGAGAGGAGCAAGGCCATGAGGCTGAGGGCTGGGGCTCTGAGGTCCCTGAGTGGGGAGGGTCTGGCCTAGCAGCAT